CAGCCTACAGGTATAGGCGTCTACGAGCTCATTAATTAATCATTAATCATTATAAGCAATGTTAATACTCATGGCCCATATTTTCTATAGTGTTATATGAGTACCAAAATAGATTCACGACAGCTAATCAGGCTTTATTGTAAGGTGCAGTAGGACACTAATTGTGCATTAGGAAATATAAAATGTGCAGTTGGCTTAGCGAATATGTGCACTTGAGAAATACAACAAAAATTACTTTGCCAAAATTATTATCGATTATTAATAATTATCGGAGAATGAATATTTATTTGTTCATTTCAACATGCCACCTTTATCCTTAAGGGACCCAAGAAATGCGGTTTTATCGTGGACTAATGAAACATGTCTCCGAGTGAAAGATACTCCTAAAGCACGCGAACAAAGTTGGTTCAAAGGAGTGTTCGCAGAAGCATCTCAAACTCAAGGTCTAAAAAGGGTTTTACAAGATATTGAAAATAATAAAGCGGAAAAGCATTCCAAAAACAGACAATTCAAAAAAATAATTTTCATCTATAAATGTTTAAAAATATTATTATTGCTATGTTTAATAACCAATTGTTTACTCAATAATTCATAATAAAATCAGTTTGACGATTTTTCGTGTAAAGTTTTTTTATATAATTTAAATAATGTATTCAGTGTAGAGTCCCCCACTTATTACTGTAATATATATTTTATTTGTACAGTTGGAAAAAATCCTTACAATAAAGCCTGCAGCTAATAATATCAACTCTAACGATACATAGGAAATCTTAATAGTAAGTTAAAGCATTTTTAATTAATACATATTATAATTATAATATTATTACGATAGGAATGTGCTATGATTTTTTTTTTTGTTTTATTGTGACTTGAAAATTGTTCTAAAACATGGTATGGAATAAAACATTACCGACAAATAATGACGAGTGATGAAAATATAGAATAATATTATTGTGGCCATGTCTGAGAATTTATGTTATATACCTAGCATATGTATTACACTTTCCACTCGGTACTCGATAAAGGTCGAACCACTTATTGTGCGGTTATGCCTATAATTATATTATTGTACAACTGTCAAAACACTCATACCGTCGAAAAATGATTTCCAAGTACAATAATGGTTACAAGATTTAATCTTGTTCAGATTAGAATATTACAACTCAAGTCAATATTTTATTATATTGTAAAAATTGACTTATACACTCGACAATACGAAAAAAGCAACTATAGTTTTTTGTGTTCACATATTTTTTTTTTATTTATCGAACAAAAACAATATGACATTTTTAATTTTTAATATAATTTCAAAAACGGAAACAATTTTAGAAACGGTTGCCGTTATATCATACAATTTTGTATGTTCAAAAAAAAGTTAGAACAAAAAAAAAAAGCCGAAATTTATAAAGTCAATATTATTCGATATAAGTAAAGAAAATTTAAATGGAAAAAAAAATCCGTATTACATTTGTGTCACCTTTTTGACTTAATCCTAATTGAATATTTTACACTTTTTGTGTGTTATTCATGACATTTTGATATTATCTTCAAGGCCGCAGTTGGAACAAATTTTCGTGAGAGGTTTAAAACTAAATTATATATTTTCGTGATATAAAAAACAACTAAAAAAGAAATTTATATATTATAATAATTATATAAATAATGTTTTTTATAGATTACCTACCTACATGTGTGATAAACTGTATATTTTAAATTAAATATTTTTATAGTATAAAGTCTAATAGTTTTTTTGCGAAACAATCGTCATCTAGATTAATTTAAATTTGTCTATGCGTAAACATTGTAAACTAATATACACTCAAAAGAACTAAACGTGTAAAGGCCCTGTCACAGTATCACACACGCATCCGATCCGTCAGGGCGTCCGTGTACTAGGAAATACGAACTTATTGTTTTTCAATTGATATTTTATTCATACTCATCCGAGCTGAATCCGGTCTGAGCTTTCTAAGATCACTCCGATGAACTTGATCTGAAGAGTTTCGTTAATAGTTTTATTTAATCTTTTCACGGTAGAAGATATGGTAAACGGAAAACTGGTACGGTCTGTATAAACGCGGAATACTGGTACGGTTCACAATAGTAAAGGTTTCCCAAACTTTTATGAAAAAAAAAAAGAATAAAATATCAACGATTATTTTTAATTTTATTCTACCGACGATCGATGGGAAAACACGACTCACGAGTGACTGCGAGTGAAAATAATGTGATATACAGAAAGTTCTCATTAGTACAATATCATTCGCAATAGTGGATTGAGAGTGTTATTACTTCAATAAAAATTATACCTAATATGGACATTTATGCCAATCTACATGGCGAAAAGCTCAACAATTAGGCATATGTTCCTTATACAGAAATAACATAGATTTTAGAATAAGTTACGGTATGATTAACGCTTTAGCGTTTTTACCCTTTAGCTAGTGAGGTAATAGATGGCATGGTTTATTTATATACAACGACACCTGTAGAATTGTTACCGTTACTAAAATATTTTGACGAAACTTATGTTAGTGGGAAGTCTGGGAGCCCAATATTTTCTCTAAACTTTGTGAATGTACTTTGCAAGACAAACTATACAACGAATGTGAGAACTTCTTAAATAAAGAAATTCAATTAGAACAATTTTTAAATAATATAGCAAAGTATACGAAATAATTATTATTAATCATAAACTATATTATATTATATTTACTGTACCTATATTAGTTATATTTTATATTTATTTTTCCTGCCTGCTACTTTGTATGTACTTATTAGTGTTTTTTGGTAATTTTGATTGCTAACATATTTTTTTTTGTTTTAAGTATTATTTAAATTTAACTTGTAGACGATGGTGATTTATCAAAATTATATTATAAACATTGTAAATATTTTAGGACCCCTGAAAATTAAATTTTGAATAGTACTAGTTTTCCGCGTTTTTTATTTCTTTTGTTATAAATGGTATGGACCGTACCAGTATTCCGAGCATCAGAAGATATACCTACGTCCTGGTGATGATGTCGTAACTGGTAATGTATCTTATAGTTTCAATAGAAAATATATAATTGGAAAAAATTCATAATTTAAAATTGGGAAGTTGACTTCTCCCAACTAGCATTTTGCTTTAGAAACTTAAAAATTTCTAGATATTTTTTTTATATAGATGTTTTGCTCGGAAATGTTCAGAATTCGCATATAGGTACCCTTGGAGTTTTACCAGAAGTCAGAAATCATAATTTTTTAGTGTAAGTACATACACTAATTTTCACATTATTATCGTCATTTTAGAACTACCACTGAAAACCAAGGATAGGTATATATGACAGTATATGTAGATTCTGAGTATCCTTCCAAGTAAAATTTAGCAAATTAATTGCATAATATTTTGCAGTTTTTAAGTTTCCTGGTCAAAGAGGGAGGAGGGAAACTTTACAGATATATTGTGACCGATATCTAATCTGCAGAACAAAAATTAATTTCAATTTTAATTCGTATTAACCCTACACTGCATGATATTTTGGATTAAAAAAAAAAAAATATTTTTTTAAGGGAATTTGATGCTGAATTTGGGAAAAATGATTAAAAAAATGTATTTTAATTGTAATTTACCCATTTTTACAATTTAAGGGTTTGTAACCAATTAGCAACAGTGTGCAATAGTGACATGATTTTTATTTAAAAAAAAATTACTGATATGAAAAATGTTATTATATTACATGATATACTTTATAAACTTATAGTTATTAGTTATTATAACCCAAAATTGTTTATAATAATAAATACTATTCAAAATTAAATCAAAATAAAATACATAAACAAAACAAAATTATAAATAAAAACATGTAGGTTACGCACACTGTATCCAAAAAGCTACAAACAGAAAAATATAAATTACACAAAAGTAATTATATTTATTGGAATAATTATGGTTTTAATAAATAGTACTCACAATTATGATTTCAAATATCTTTTTTTTTTAATCCAAGTTTGGTTTGAACCGTTTGATAATATGTGATAAACACATCGGTACTAGACAACTGATAAGATATTGGGTAGTGAAAATTAAACATATGATAAATAATACTGTTACCATGGTTATCATGATAATATTGATATCACTATACGACTTGGTATGTTGACAAATGTCTACAATGCGCATAATGAAAAATATGAAAAAAAGACCGTTATTTTCAAACTAAAATCAGTATGTAACCAAATGTCTACACTATGCAGTGTAGGGTTAAAAAATTCCTATATAATATATAAACGGGCTAAAGTACCTAGTAACCCTAGCGTACGCAGCGCAGCCTGTGGTCGTTTAATCGTGCGACTCGTTTCGGTACGTTTTTTCATGTGGACGGCCGTAGACCGTAGCCCGTTAGAGTTTGGTCTCCTAAACTCAATTTTATTATAATATTATAATATCCTTATTATTTATTATAATATTATTATATGTTCATACTTCATAATTCATGATTCATTCTCCTTATTCTAGTCTTCATAATATCATAGAACAATAATAATATTATCACAGAACTTGTTCTGTGATATTATTATATTGCTCAATAACACGATTAAAGATAGTACTATCTTAAATCGTGCTCAATAATAATGATAAATTGATAACAGAATCAAACGACAGACATGATAATAATATTCAGTTATTATATTATATTCACAATTTGCTAAGTTAAAAATCGAATTTAAACGAAGTACGAACGAATTCAACAATTAATAATGTCACATTCCCACCGAATTTTATATTAATATAAAATCACTAAAGAATAATGTGCCTTATGTAGCACTCCGTACTTGAATAATAGTGTGGTAAATATTTGTCAATTAAAATTTAGCTACTGTAGAGTATAAATGTCTGTACCCTATTACATTTTAGTACGTACATAATATTCTTACATTTTATTCTATTATAGTGACCAAACTCCAAAGAAAAACGATGACTTTTCGATCAAGACGACAGAACATACTATAATAAAATGATGTTCAAGGCAATGTATAAAATGCGGCCTATATGTGGCTTGCATTGTCCCCTAAACGCTTTGTTTAACAAACGTTTACATAATACAAGTTCAAACAGTGCACAAAAAAAGAGAATACGTTCTACTGTATATTATCTTTCTTCTCTAGGAGTATTAACGGTCGGTCTTAGTTATGCGGCTGTGCCACTGTATAAAATGTTTTGTCAGGTAAGCACATACTAAACATATCATTGACAAGTCACTATAATGTTGATCTATTTATAGGCATTCAGTTATGGTGGAACTCTGAACCATAACATAGAAGATTCAAAAGTAGAAACAATGAAACCCAATAGAAACCGAGAAATCAAAGTGCATTTCACTGCTGATACCTCATCCAGCATGCAATGGAGCTTTAAACCTCTTCAGAATGAAATCAGAGTAATATTATACCTTTAAATTTAATAGAGCATTGATAATCCAGATAAACTGTAACCAACATAATGATTCACAGTTTGTTTGGTTAGTTAATTAAATAAACGTCTTATTTTACTACTTTATTCTTTATTGATTGATATTTAATACCATAGACATTGATCATTATAATTAATATTGACTTGACATTACAAAATGATACTTCTCCGTTTATGTTTAATACAATTTACGTATGTTTAGATTCTTTGCAAGATCGTGTTTGAAATAGAAGTATTCAATTATCATAATTTAAGTGTGTTAGCTATTGGGTTAAATAATGAATACTTATCACACAATTGTATTTTTTAACAGTTTGATATATTGATTAAAATGTTTGTAAACATTTAAATTTTTTCTGGAAATTTTAACTACCTATCCACATGTAAATGTTATTAAACTACATTTTCTTGTTTCATTTTTATATTACTATATCTGTTTTAATTTGAGATCTTTTTACATTAGATTAGAATGCACAAAAAATGTTATATTATATACCTACTTTATAGAACAAAACTTAAATTTTTAATTCAAAATTAATGTTGAAAAAATATTATATTTATTATGTTTTTATTAGGTAGCACCTGGCGAAACAGCATTAGCGTTTTATACAGCTAAAAATCCATTAGATAAAGCAATTACAGGTATCAGCACATACAATGTTGTACCTTTTGAGGCAGGACAATATTTTAATAAAATACAATGTTTTTGTTTTGAAGAACAACAGTTGAATCCAAATGAAGAGGTATTTTATTTGCTGTTAATAGTATAGAAACAAGATTGATAATAATTTTTAAATTGTTCAGGTTGATATGCCAGTATTCTTTTTTATTGATCCTGAGTATACAACCGATCCAAAAATGGAGAACATTGATGACATAACACTGTCGTACACATTCTTCGAAGCCAAACAAGGTGTAGATTTATCAAATATTTTCAAACACTGAAACAATAGATAACTTATGAGTTAAGTTTCTGGTAGTAAACATTGTTAATGCAATTGCTTACAGGCATTGTTTTTACATATTTTAATGTAAAATATATATTTTATAAACATTATTAAAACTTAAAAATATGTTGTTTTTATTATGTTACATCATGTTTGTATTATGTTGTTATTTTATTATGTTATTTTTATATACATCATATTCTTGTAATCGAGGTAAGTGAAGAAGTTTAAATTAGCATTAGGCTTAGGTTTTTATTAAAAATAGGTATCTTTTGAAAATTTGAAATGAAAGAAGGTTTGACAAGAATAGTTTATCAAAAATATAGGCTACCGTAGAATAGGAATTGATAACTTAATACAATAACAATTATATTTTATAGATATTTGCATTGCCATGATGCGATATGTATATTTAATTTAGATTTTGTAGAATTTTGAGATTTTGTGTAGTTCGATCAAGTAAGCTTTTTATACAAAATAAGTATTAATTTTACTTAAATATTTAACATCAAAGTAAGGAAGATCAAACATTTTGAACAGTTAGAGAGAAATGGATATCAATATTATTATAATATAAATTTAATATTTATATTTGTTTAAAGAGTTAAAACAGGATATATTTCTATTTAAAATCAAAATGTATTAATAAATTAATTTCAAAATATTTAAAGTTCGAATCTCGAACAAACCCAAAAAAAAGTTTGGTCCATCCCAAGCCCCAAGGTGTATTTAATAGTTGATACAATATCAATACACCTTGGTCTATCCCTAGTAATTCCGTAGACCTTATACTAGGTACCTTAGTATAATGTCTATGAGTAATTCATTGATATTAATACAAGTGATAATAATGCACTCGATAATAGACAATTTAAGATGACGCTACACGGATATTTGTTGTCTCCGTCTTACAAGTGCGTAACATAGCAAATTTACGATCAGCAGTCAGCAGATCACGTTTAACTAGGTTAGTCTAAAAATTGGAGTCAATTAACCTATTATAAAACTTGATGGTAAGAACATTATCTATGATTGTATGTGGATCTTTTACGATAACTCAGTGTTTAAATGAGTTTGAGCATTTTTAATTTACACTATATTAAATACGCATAACTTGCTAAAATATTAAACTATCGTAAAAAAAAAACAGTATACAATAAATCGTAATATAAACACAGATAATGTTATTAACATCAAGTTTCATAATAGGTCTATTCACTCCAATTTTTAAACTAACGGAGCTAAACGTGATCTGCTGAGCGTAAATTTGCTATGTTACGCACTAGTAAAACGGAGATAACAAATGGCAGTGCGTAGCGTCCTCTCAAGATAGAATGGTTGGATATTCCACAATCCACATTTCCAGTTTCCACCTCAAGATTAAGAGGACATTATACCCAAAGGACTAAAGGCAAAGCGAAGAATATACAACGGCTGATGGAATGAACCACATATTTTGGAGATAAAACTTTCTTACCGATTTTCATGACAAGCTTTCGTCTTTCCAATAATCCGGTTTAAGTACTTAAGCGTTATACACTTATACAGTTAAACGATTATAATAGAATTTTAGATTAGCCCGATTTTTGATATCTTGCGACTTGCATGCACATTTTTGGTTATTAGATCAAAACCTATTTATGGACGTAAAATTGTTATACGTTATGTCTTAATACGCACACATAACAACAATTCGAGTACTTTCAAAGTTAAAAAGGTTCGATTAGAAAAATTAAAAATCGTAAATATGTCTGAACAATGGCAAGGCCGCCCACAGAAATATAAATCGGCAGTGCCAAAGTCAAAAATCTCCGATAATACAGAAAAATAAATACAATTTTTTTTTTTTACAAAGTATTAACTAAAATAGCAGGGGAGGGGGGAAATGCCCTCTGACATTGGACGTTTTAGTAGATTTAGTATTTTTGTAATGACATAATTAAATATTAATGATTTAATATATGGGTAGTATTATAATTATGTAATGTGATACCTATAAAATTAAGAGCCAACTCCCTCGTTGCTCGTGGTGTCTGAGTGGCTTCAAATGTTGGTACACTATACTCCTCATCGACCTCATCTATACTTTAAAATTTAAATACCTACTTTTAAGTTATAAGTTAAGTTATATACCTAGCCTAACTCATGAACAACTCGTAGTAAATTTGATTTTTATGTATTGGAATACTTGGAAAAATTATTCTGCTTTCAAAAATTTAATTTTGTACTGCAAGTTGTCATTAAAAACCGTAACAATTTAAAAATATTATAAAGAAAATAAATATTTTTAAATAGAATTTAAAAAAGGTGGGTAAGTGGATGTCGCTCTGCTGTACAGTAGGTTACAAGTGGGTCACTGTATAATGGATGCTATTAAATTTGAATTCAATGATACAATATCATTGTATAAGAAAAACGATTCTGAGCGAAGACGGTATGTCAGTCTAGGTTTAAGACAAATTATATACATATCTATAGTATTAAAAAAAAATTGACCTATAATAAATTCCAAATTAAGCATATCACATTATCACAATATCCATTAGGTACTTATAACACGTTATACATCAACATCAATAACAAACCCTGATACTATCATAGATATATTTTATAGTACACTTTAGAAGTTTCAAGTAGGTACCCACGAATAATATTATATAATCACAACAAAATAACTAGGTTTTTTAATATGTAATTTCGTCCAAATTTGAACATAAAATTACTATAAAAATAAACTGTGATTGTATATTTTTTAGATTTTTTGGTAAGAGAATTATCTACTTACGTGGAATCTTGTTTTAAATTTTTAATCCTTAGCTATAAAAACTGAACATTTTATAATTTTATTAATTACGATGATTAATAATTTTCGAGATTTTGAAAAATTCTGTCAAAATTCGATGTTTAAATTCTTATAAAAGAAAATTGTGCCTATGTATTTTTAATATTTTTCAACTGATATTGTAACAATATATCAGGAGCCTTGTATTAAATTTTTACACTTTTTGTCCCAACAGATAAAACTTTATTGATATTTATAGAAAAAAAAACTAAAAAAAATTGAAAGCTGTAAATGTCCATAAACAGCTCAAAAAGAGTCAAAATATTTTCAAAATTGTATGGTGTATATGAAATGCTAATATAAACATTCAGTGAAATTTTCATGTATCTACAGTTATTTGTTTTTGAATTACAACAAAATAAGGAAATCGCTACATGGGAAATCGAGTGAACATCCAATGTTGTAAAAATTTGAATTTCAAACGCTCATAAAAATTTAATTTGAGTTTCTTATAGACATTTTTTTTTTTGATAAAGGTAGATAATCTTATAAGGAATCTTGTGTTTAATTTTCAAATCTTAGATTTAAAAAGAAAAATTTTTACGAATTCTTAACTCAAAATAATTTGCTAATTTTCGTGATTTTTCCATATTTTGTCAATTTTTGAACTTTAAATGCTTATAAAAAAATTGTGACTAAGGATTTTTAATATTTTGCATCTGCCTTTGAAACAACATATTAGGAGCCTTCTATTAAATTTTCAAGCTTTCGCAACCAACAAATAAAATTTTATTGCTATTTTTAGAAAAAAAACTAAAAAAAAATGGAAAATGAAAATGTCCCTAAACAGTTCAAAATAAATCAAAATATTTTGAAAATGTTATCGTGTATAGAAAATGCAAATATAAACAACCAGTGAAAATTTCATGTATATACGTTCATTTGTTTTAGAGTTACACCAAAAACCAAAATCGATTTTTTGGAAAACCAATTTTGCGTAAAAATTCCCGTTTTTCCTTAATTTTTATGTTGTTTTTCCCGGCGCTTGTGAAAACTATTGGGAAATTTATACTTTTGACCCCCCAAAGTACCAGCTAGATTCACTTTCCTATCAGAAAAGCTACTGATGAAGAAAATCCAAGCACTTTTACTGTCCTAAAACGTGATGACAGACACAAAAATAAAAAAAAAAATAAAAAAAAAATAAAAAAAATAAAAAAAAAATAAAAAAAAAAACACACATCATTGTAAAATCAATACATTCATCGTTTCACTCAGAATCTAAAAAATGTATTGTAACAACTCGAAACCAAAATAATGTTTTCAAAAGCATTAACATTTTTTGAAATAATGAGTTGCTCATGATAAAAGAATCACTCTGTACGACTGTATCTATATATTATGCTGCGATCAAAGCAAAGTAAATTTGTAATCATCTTTACATTTTTTTTAAATTGAACCACGAGAATAGTATCTTAATTTTTATCAGTCTCTTATAGGTTGTTTGGATGAAAATTTATAGGGTTTGCGATGGCCAATGGCCTTAATAGGATCGTATTAAATATTACCTCTACAATTTTTTTAACAGGTGGATTTAGTGTACACCTATTCAGGAATCGCTATTATAACCCGTAAAACTTAATTTGTAGTTACTACCACGAACTTCCATGACACGAAGATAGAGTCACGAGAGTCACGAGAGCCGTAGGAGGCCGCACGAAATTGCGTGAGATGACGTGTCTAGTACCAGTGGTGGATTTAAAGAGGGGCAGGTGCCCCCTCCCCCCATTGGCCTATCATCTAGGTTAATAAATTGGGGCATTTTTAAATATTTGTGTTGTACAACTTGGAAAAATGCAATGGGTCCAACCAGAAAAAAATTCCAGATCCTACTCTGGTCTACCGAAAGGTAAAATAAAATACGGCACAAACTTAACGAAATATAAGTATATCTAACTAAATTTGAAAACTAGCGTTTCTTAATTGCTATTAGGTACAGCTATGATATTAATGACAAGTGACGACTGATGAATATTGGCTCTGCTGTACATGACATCACCCGCCGGCCACCAGCCATGCCTTTTCCAATTTATTGTATCTTAGTCTTTAAGTTAGGCTACTCGGTACTTCAGACTTACTAGTTAGCACTTACCAGTGGTACCTAAGCAGTTTAGAAAGAAATACACCTGCATGTCACATGTGGCGAGGGTATGTATAGCAGAGTAATTATGTTGATTGTATTAAATTAACCATTATAGATAGTAAGATTATCCACAAAAGAAATTTTTTTTAGGACTTACCTACATAATATTATATTACCTAATATATTATTTACGAATTTACAAACATGAATATATTGTTGACAATTCTTCATTTAAAAATGTCAAAAATATGGACAATGTTGAATATTCAAACAGTCATCAAATAAATAAATAATGCATAGGTAGGTATTACTTACTGTACTTGTGTGTCGTGTGTGTTCTTGCTTTAATCAGAATTTGTGGTAATTTGTGCAATTCATTGTTTTCAATAAGTCTATATAAACTAGTCTATATAACGAGCTAATATAAAGTTCTATGTACATCCAGTAACAACCATCTAGAATCTAGTACTGAAAACCTTGTTTCATAGTAGTATTAGGTAGGGTACCAGTATGCGACAATTATCTACTTTGTGAAACATCAAACATAAGAAGAAAATATAGGTAAAAAATATACAAGGAAATAAAATAATTGTAAATCTCTAAGGGCCGCTTTCACCACTACTTTAAACTCCGATTAAAGTTAAACCGGGGTTTAATCGGCCGAATTTGCCCGGTTAAATATCTGTTATCAGTCGATTAAGCGTAATCGAAGTTTAAAGTATTTGGTGAAAGCGGCCCTAAGGCTATTGCCAGTTAATCTTAGATCATAGACAATTATAAATATTGTTAGGGTTTAGATTAATGAATATTGATTGACTTGTGACAACCAATTGGCCATAATATACAAGAATGTCGGTTTAAGGAAATGACAAAATGTTATTGATTATTGGTTCATGCCAATACTCAACACTAAACTAAAAGTGGTTAGTTTATTTATTTTTTTGATACAAGGAAATTTTAATTCTAAGTTCAATGTTTGATATTTACGTTTACTACTGTATTGTTGTAGTTGATAATATATTTTTTAATATACTTTAATGATATTTTTGATTTTAACTCAACAAATTTATTAAGTTGAACATAAAAATATTTATTCAACAGGTAAACTTTACCCTACTAACAGTAACATACACTTAGATGAGTCATTTAAGTACATATAATATACCCAACATAATATAGAAGTTAAATGGTAGTACCTAATATTTTTATTCCCGATATTAGTAAAAAATAAAAATATTGCACATGATAAAATAAACAATATTTGTTATCTTACATAGTATTATTATATTATATACTATTTGTTGAATGCCACAAAATACAGGTTATTTTTCTACATTTAAAAACAAACATTGATAAATGGAAATTCGTGAGGCAGTTTTATAATTTTATCAAATAAAGTTATATATTATAATAAGTTATTATTATTTATCATAAAGTATTATTATTCACTTAAAACTCATAGTAACTCATAATGAGACGTTAAAAAACTGCATTAAATGTTTAAAAGTAAAATATTGATATAGGGTCAAGAGGTAATTTTGGTTGGTATATAAAGTATAGACCAAGAACAAAACAAACGCAACACACTTTCTTGATATTAATTAGTTTACTTGACAGTAACACTTCTTGACAAGTATAATATAATTGATAATAATAATAATAATAATAATAATAATAATAATAATAATAATAAAAACCTTTTGCACATTTTCCGAAATTATCTTTTACAAAATATACATTCAAGGCTAATTATTGTTTTAGTTTTGCATTCTTTTAATAAAAAAAGAAGATAATTAACTGCAGAAATCAACACTCAAAAATCTGCCAACTGGCTAAACAAACGCGTACAAATTTTAACTAAAACATGTGCCCAAATAAATGTTTACTCAAAAAAAAAAAAAACATAAAATAGTGTAGTACCTGAACGTTAAATAATATGGTAACAATATTGTAATGCAAATTCATATTCTTAGAAAATATTGTTTTATATATTCGAATATATTGTCTCGTACTTAACGTTTCAAACAGTTACACAGGAGAAAAATGTATTTACAAATCAATTGGTTTATTTTATTTTTTCGAGAAACTGAAATGTAAAAAAAAAATATATATTTATATATATTATATTTTACTTAAGTCGTATCTATCACAAAACGAGTTTTGCTGTCAGCCAACAAATTTATCGTTGAAAAAAAAAATAAAAATAAAAATAAACAAAACGTATTAACTTATTTACAAACGTTCCATATATAAATTAAATATTAGTCTACATTTATTTTTTTTTTCATTTTTAAATGTATGTTTAACATTAAATGTCTTTTCATAATATCGTTTTCATCAACATAATAAGCGATTTTGAACGTTCTGCCAAAGAAAATTTTGGGAGCGCAATTTTCACAAAACAATAACATTTTTTTTATCTTCTATTAAACAGCTAAAAAAAATAATAAATGAAAAACTAATTTTTTAACTCGCATAAAGAAAGTGTAGTTATAGATTCGTTACTACAAAAAAAAAAAAAATAATAATAATAATAATAATAATAATAATAAAATATAATAATAAACAGTTTCCGAATATATATACCAAGAACATTTCAGTTACAAAACATAATTTATTTGTGATATAAAAACAATGACGAGGAAAAAAACATGTAACTTGTAGTTATATACAAATAATTAGTCAAAAACTGGTAAAAAAAAGATTTCATTGTCCTTAGCACGCGCGTATAATTATATAGTACAAGTAAACCAGGATTGAAATTAATTTTAATAATAATAATAAAAAAAAAGAATAATATAATTCACAAGTTGAAAATTATACGCGGTATTTACGTTGCGCGCTTAATTTCTTTCTCTTATAATACCGAATAGGCATTTTATGGACTTTGTACAAAAGTTTATCTTCAATTTTTTTTCCTAAACCTTAAATTAATTAATATATTAAAAAAAACTATCTTGACACTTGATACATCAGTCGTTACTTAAAGTTTCGTGTTTGGGTAATTGAAATGGGATAGGGAAGGGGTTTGCATCGAGTATTATTTACATGGGTGGGTGGGGTAAGGGTGTTACTTGGGGAAACTTGAACGAGGGATCACGAGGAGGAGGGAGACTAGTTAGCGAACGTCGCGGTTACTGGCCTGAGGTAGAGGAGATACGGGTGATTAGTGGGTGGGTGAGGAGATGGTGTTGGGTCGACAGGGCGGGGATAGGACAGATAAGTAGGGGAGGAATCGGATCGACGTTTGAGATCTGTTGATCAATATTTTCGGCACGGCTGCTGGCCCCGTTATCTCCTGTCCCGGTATAATAAGTAAACGCTTAGAGACTGCGGCAGGTTCAGGTCCATGACGCGTTCTTCTAGGTATTGTTTACCGATTCGTTGTCTAATGACTCGTCTACATAGGTCCATCAGCGGTAAAGGTTCAGCTGCAACAAAAAACAATATTTTATTAATATATGATCATATGACAACTTCTCCGAGTCAAGTCAGCTGAGCTGGCTGGCACTATACTTACGATCTAGTCCGCCGATGTATTTCATCGTAATTTCACAGTGACCCCAAACAGCGCTGACAATTGGGAATAATTTCCGCCCCTTGAGGCCTCTAAACGCAACGCCCAAATACTGGCCGTCTACGACAAAGGATAGTGTTCCCTCGTCCATATCCAAAACGACTGTAAACAAAAAAAAATAAAGACATGATATAATAATTATTGCACAGGTGTCATTGACGTCAGCAGTGTAAGAAGATCATCTCAGGTGTCTCGTGGAGCACCAAAACAAAATGCTCTCGTACACTTCGAGAGGTGTTACTATACGTACCTAAAAATTTATCTGGCACTATAAACGTCTCGTCGGGCTTGAGCAAGGCCGGATACGTAATGCCGTCGTAGCTTTTCGAATCGTGGTACAATTTGTTACGCCCTAAATCCCAGCCCCATGACTGGTCGTTACTTCCCACCAAACTCTGATAACCGACAGAGTGTAGAGGTGCATCTTGTGTCGCGACGCCGACCACTGCGTGCGTTCCGCGTTGCCTGGTCGACCAGTTAACTTCCCACACGTGCAGACCTTTGGTCAAGCCAGTCTTACCTCTGATGCAATCGGTACTCTGGGCTACCGGATGCCTGTGGAATGTCAATTTGTCTTCTTCCTGTAAACGAACGATAAAATCACGACTATTAAAAGACACTCGACGGTATTTAGTGCGATGGGTACGACACTACGACAGAATACATATTATTATACAAACACAATGTACATGATATATTATTCATTACCTTGACAAATATGTTTAGAGACCTATCCTCCGCGTTCCAACCGTGTTTGATTTGCATTTCTTTGGACGCCGGCGGCATGTCTAATAGTATGTCTAATCTGGCCGGACGGGCAAAATCTTGGGCCAGCTCTCTGGGTACTACGGGCTTGTATGGTTGCGCACTTTCGCGGCTAACAGTTTTAACTCCACCTGAAACACACGAAGCGTATGACGATTAGATAATACATAATTAATATAATATAGTACAACACCCGAAGGTATAATATATCAGTGCGTAGTTTAGGTACGGATCGCGGTTAGGGATGACTGATGGGAGGGGGAGTGGTGGTGGTTTACACGACTTTCGAGTGTCGACGGAATCGTAGTCGACTAAAACATTGTGAAAACGTTTCGTACCAGGCGCGCGGCGTTTCGGGCGAAAACGGCCTTCGCGAACAACACAACAAACACGCGGTCGTGGTAGAAGATCGCGCGATTTCGAATCGGACGCGTTGTCTCTCCTTATGCCTATGGTATGGTTTCACTTCTTTTACCTAAGGCGGTGGTGTTGTCAGCGGCGCCGTCGACTGCGGCGGGTGCCACCGTTTCGTTGTTGGTCATTGTCCTCGCGAGGTCGCCGGGTATAGGTATTATTGTTATGTATAAAAATGCGTGTGGTGTGGCAATAAACGAAATGGAATATTCAAAACGAAAACAATGACGACAAATAATAACAATAAAAATACACCGAAATTATATACACGCGGTGACAAAAAACGCACACCGATGACTTTCGAAAACGACGCACGCGCGTCCGCTAGAGATTCACAGAGAGACAAACGTAGTTTATTATAAACGGAAAAACGGTCGCAGTGTTTGAGACATAGTTATATTATTTCGAAGAAGAGTTATTCAACGGCGGACACAGAACGACGATTGTGTGTCGACTCTGGTTAGATGCGTTGGTGGTGTGCACCGTGACGAACGATACTCAAAACGCCAGCCAGCGGCTAACTCGTCCGATAAGAAAACTCGTTTTTTTCCCTAGCTTTAAATCCTCCGCTCGACGATTTTCGGACGACCCAACTATAGATAGAATATTATCGTTTTATGCGAGCCGTTATAATGACCACAGAGTTGTGGCCTTTCCAAACAAATAACAACTGATTAAACTATACAACTATACGTCGATTACACGCGGCACACGGATTTTCAGAGCACTCTGTATAATGTATAATACACATGTACATAAGACCGCTGGTCGGACATTACACACGCGACGACGGCGGACGGACAATTTGGACTGTGAACGCGGTCGGCAAAATCATTCGCGGCAGCGTCGGACCGGATTTCGTGGAGGGTGGGAGCGACGGGACAACGGCGGGGGCGTTTTTTCCCGGTTGCACCCTTCGTATCCGTATAACTGTATATTATAGGTCCACGGGATTCGTAAAAGAATAATAATAAAAACTGCATCACAGCCCGGACACTTTATGCACGCCAAAATTATTATTAAACCGTGGGAGGAAACGAAAAACAAAAGGCCGCGGCTAAAAGTCGATTAAGCCCGTCGCCGTCGTCGATGATGACGAATAACAGCGCCACGAATATAATATAACATATATTATTATCGCAGTGATTTATCAGGAACGGTGATCGAGTAGACACGATCATATTTAGGGGTTGGAATTTGAGGGTTGAGCGGTTAGCTGTTGTTTTCGCAGCAAGTGCCAGCATAGCTCTTTATCCTTGATAATACCAACTACTGCACCGTTCGAATATTTGGAACTCACTAGAGTTTTCGGCCCATGTTCATGGCCGGTGGGCTCTGGTCCGTTGTCGGGTGTCCTCCTCCGATGCTGACGTACGGCGAAGCGGCGTTGCCTTTGTTCAGGTGCGACAGCACCGACACGGAAGCCTTGTAGTTGTGGCGCCTGAGCTCCCTGAGCTCAACGCCCGACGACGTCACGCGACTGCTACCGCCGCTAAGCACAGCAGCCGCTGCTGCCGCGCCAAGATTGCCGCTGGTGCCTACTAATGCGCTGCTCGCCCACCCAGAGCAACTGCCCACCGGTGCCCTTCAGTCTGGAAAAGCAAAAATGTCAAACCATTAGTAAAGAGTAAGGATTACGGGTTATTAAATCGAGAAATTATTACGAGAAACGTATGTGCTACTTTTGGTATGTTTACAAGGTACTCTACACGACTATAATTATACTATATTATAAATATAAATATTGTAATCGACATTGGTTAGGTTGGTCGAATTTATTAGTAATATTGAGTACCATAACCATAGATCGCCGTGAGTGTACTGAACTAGATTATAAAATATTTGTTACAAAGCTACATAAGTATACGACTTTGAAAGTAAGTATTCAAAATCATATCCTATGAACGCACACGACAAGGGGCGTCGTTATAGAAGGATTGAAAACCTCATATAATGTATATAATACATTGACATTTGACGCGTTAAGTAATTTACGGCACTTAACGTTATCATGGCAATTAACATATTATATTTACTAAATCAGAATATTTATGACATGGTAATTAAAGAAAATTGAAATCTAATTATAAAAGTTATTTAAAGAGAAGTATATAGGTAATTAAAATCAACAATATTACATTAAGTTAAATAATTTAAAGGTTCATTTTGGTACCTATTAAAATAGTGTTTAATAATAAATTATGCAATTTCATAAGATTTTATCATTGAATTTAATAATTTCTTCCTAAATAAATTATAATTCCCGGAAAATGGAAATACTATTTGGTTGCTCTGATTATTCGATAAGTGTTTAATCAATTTTATTTTCGTGTATAGCTCAGACGCGTACGTTATAATCATTATCTATTTTATTGTACAATTAATATAATAAATACGATTTGATGTAGGTACTGTAGTATAAACCTGTAAAAATAATGGATTCCTCACAAATTTGATATTATGCAATTGACAATATATTCAAAAAATTAACACCGCCGCAGAGGAACCGGACAGTTTTTTTGTTGAGAAAATTAACATATTTGTTATTAGATATCATTTGGAAAAGGAATTCTAACTGGTTGCAAAACACGTGTCTCGTCCGTACAACAGACTTAAACATTTTAAAAAGTTGGACGAAATAGCGTGAGCCTCATTGTTTCATAAATATAATATTATTAATATCCCTACTTATTAGTAGTTATTAGGATCATAGACTATACACAGTTTTGTTATGCCATGTGCTGAACTTTTACGTCATATAAATCACACGAACGACATTGTGGGTCAAAACGGAATGTAATAAACATTTGTGTATTATTGATTCAATATTGTGTGCAGTAATATAAATAGTGTTATTTGTTGGCGAAAATTAAAAATTGATGATTACAAGGAAAATAATTAATACAACTAACAACAATCTTCTCATCTTGGACGCGGCCGCTGCTGCGGCGGGCCAACGACGAAAAAAAATTATTCACTATGCAAACGGACGTTGATCGATTTGTTTCTCCCTCGTTGACTTTGTCGAACTTTTCTCGTATAGCATAGATTGTGCGAAAATAATGTAATAAACAAATGTGCGTCGGTCATAGCAGTGCACTATATACTTGGTCCGCGTACACAACACCTCACGTCCACCACCGCAGCGATTGCACCGCTATTTGACCTGATTTTAGAATCGGATAACATTGAAAGCGCTAATTCGCTCATTGGTCATAATAATAATAATCCGCAAACACAAGTCACAACATTGTTTTAAACGCCATCGGTAAATACGTGAACATTTAGCCGCGTGTCCGTCGAGGGCACATCCTTGAATGTCCTGGAGGACGTAAAAATGTGCAAACTCGCGCCTGCACACTGCCATTATAGTATATAGGTAGTATCAGTGTATTTATATAACCAGCGATGTAATCAACGAAATTGGCTGAACATTTACACTTGAAAATAATACGAAATTAAAGGGGACACCACCACCTGGACGCGCGAACGTAATTTGACGAATATTAGCAGTGTCCTCGGACACGTGTCGAGGCCATCGCAGCGGCAGCCGTGTTACAGCAGGCGCTCAAAAAAAAAAAAAATGTAATCTTCAATTATAAATATATTACGTTAATTATATTGTGCCTCGAAAACGGTCAACTTTCCATTTCTAAAACGATCGTCTCCGCTATCTGCAGTAAATAATACTCTTACCAGCGGTCTTACCATACGTATAGTATAATATAATATACCGGCTGGGCAGGTGGTAAGTAGAGGTCCGAGGTACATTTAGCACACGTTTAGAAGGTACAGAAAAGAAGGAAAAAATCACCATTACAAAAAGTAACAAGTCGTCAAGGACATAACACATAAAGTACTATCACCACACGTGTACTACACGCGTATACAACAAACACACAACGGCACTAAAAATGCAGAAAAATCGAAAATCATTTTCTGCTTCGATATTTTCACCATACAATACGTCATATAATAGGGCAGACCAACCGTACATTATATATAGATACGTGCTATTTAAAATCGAAAATATCGACACAGTAAAATCACCCATTTAGACCACGTCGAGTATAAAAAAAAACTATAATAATACGTGTCTATATAATATTATAAGACTATTACAGCGGCGGCGCCGTCTTAGTTTTTATTGTTGTATATTAATAGGTAAATACATATTATTACTTTGGCGACGGTGGCGCGAGCGAGCTCTGTTGTGAAAACCAGTGAAAGTGATGTAGAATAGTATACCTAACCAGGTGAATATATACGCAATGCGCGCACACAAAAGTATATACACGGTCCCCGGATGAAACGAACCGAAACTATAATATGGAATGCGCTTGAAATTCGTCATATCATAGACCCGAAATTTGATCGAGGGATACGATAGGCGGGATTCTCGGCAACGATTTATATATTAATATGTTGTTTTGCGGTTTTCACTCTGACTGTGCAGGCGGGAAATGGTATTTCCGCTGGCCGCCATGGAAGTCGTACGATTACGTCGTAATATCGTCATCAGGCTCCGAATCGTGGTAAGCTAACAAAACAAATATAATATATTGTGGCCGAATTGTACATCCTCTGCACCACGGTGTTTCAAATTTGGTATTTCATGGGCCACGACATCCAATAAAAAAAACATAACGAAATTGGAAAATTCAGTACGTTGGACAAATTAGTACACTTATCCTTTTACTAAATCTACCGTTTTATATTTAATTTGCATATATGTATAACTACCAAGCCACACATAATATGTATGTAGATGCCTATTCATATGTACGTATTGTCAGTATAACACTATTAAATGTTGCTATAACCGCGTTAAATGTCTGAGAAATTTTAAATCGTACAACAAATAATGATAATACCTACTAAAAGTTTTCGTTAATTCATTATAAGTACCTACAGTGAAACGAAATATTACGAGAACCACAACCAAATTAGAACCAAAATTATGTAATTCTGTTTAACGAATTTCTAATATGAATTTTTTTGTTGCCCACGAGACTGATGGAAGTTTGGCCGCATTGTAAGCGGAGACCCGGACAGCGACCCTTCAAACGAACGGGCGGCGCATGCTGCAGCAGCCCCACCGAGGCCGATTTCTTATTAGAGAGCGCAC